ACAACAACATCATTTTAAAGAATTTATATTAATAATAAAATTCAATAACTTCACTCTTGTGTACTGTAGAAAATGTAAACTTTGTCCAACTATCAACCGGCTCCTGTTGATCATAAGAGCCTATCTTGCCTACAGCCTCTTCAGCTATGGCTGTTGCACATTACACAATACCAAGGCGTATCTTTGTTTGGTATTTGGGCTGTCGTCATTCCAAGGCAAAGGGTGTGAAACCATCTTGCACAAATTCCACACTGAATCTAGATGGGGATTAATGTGTAATGCATATAGAAAAATGTTAACATTAGGAAACCTGGAATGCAAAGTATACAATATTTAATTCATCTAATGTTATTCTACGATTCAGACTATTCATTGTTTTGAAACTGTTAAAGTAGCCTCACCCACACAGCATCAACGGAAGTTTTAGGCAGGTCCTCGCTTCCACAGAAAGAACAGAAATCATCCTTTGAAACTGAAAAAGGTGTAAATTAGTAAGTAATAAATACATTATTATTATGTTTGTAGAAGATGCTCAACATATGAATGTAATATTTAGAACAATACCTGATCGTTCAAGAATTTCCTCTGCCATGTCCCTCCTTAGACTTTGAAGGGACTGTGTTGATGAGTCAATGTCAAATGACTGTGGGATGTTTGGAAACTCCATCACCGTCATCTTGGCCATCTGTAAAGATAGTAAACAATACATTTTCTGTGTATGACATTACTCAGTAAAACTATATGCATTCTGCTTACCTTAACGTATATTGTATTTTATTTCACAGTGTAGTGTATATTGTCTATGTTATTGCTTTTCCTACATCTGTACTGCTGCAACAAATAATTTCCCCGGGATGAATAAAGTCTAATCTAATCTAATAACTAATCTAATTTTATATTTTTTAAAAAGGCATGTTTCATAGAATCACCTGCATCACAAAGATCCCACAACTGGTGTTATCTTTCTGGAAGGTGTGGCGTATCTTGCCAGGTTGCCACTTGATGTTAACCCAGTCCTCCTTTCCAAATCTATTCCGACGCATTTTGAAATACTGTCTGCAGGGTTAAAGGTAAATCAATTTTGGTTTAGATTCGTGCTTACTCCATAGCTTTACTAAATATGTATTATAATATTAATTTCTTGCACTTTATATTATTAAGTAATATTTAATATTACCCAAATCTGTAGCCAGCCTTTTTGGTGTCCTCAGCTTCATTTGACCCTTTCAGAGGATCAACCACAAAAATGTGGTTTGACAAGGCATGAAGGTACTGTTTGAAAAAGGAAAATGATGGCATCTTTAAATATGTTAACAACAACAACAGCAAGACTAATAACATATTTTGACATTCCACTTGGTATAAAGAGACTTGATAGCAGTCACATCAGTTGAAAGTAAGTTTTACACGCGAGTTACAATTTGGAGTCTTAGTGACTGAAAGTACACTCAGATTATTAAGTAAGTAGTAGTGCTGGTAGGAGGGCTTTGTTTGGACAATCATCTTAAATGATTCCATCAAGTAATGGATGAAGACAGTGATGACGTTTAAACAAAAACATATCATTCATAGAATAACAATCAATTGTGAGGCATGGATAATTAGCTACAGCATGTACAAAAATGACTGCATGAGAGAAAAATGTCAGATTATTAAATATATTACAGTACTGTGACTTGAATAATTATCTGTTTTTAAAAAGAACAAACTTTTATTTAAAAAAGAATACATTGTCATGTATATTTAGTTTTATTTACTTCATTTTAGATAACTATAAATCATTATAGCAAACTAAGGTTCATTACCTTTGAATGTACAAACAATGACCAATACATAAATTCTGTAATGGCGCATAGTTTTATACTCACCACAAACTTCCAGTGGACATTTCTTTCGTTGACAAATCCAATGACTCTATCATAGTCATCAAATGTGATCTGACAAAATATGTAAGCACAATAATTGTATTTTTTCTGTAGTACACAGAAGCAAAAGAAAATTTCACATACACAATAAACATAATCTTTTTTCCTCTATGGGACATTATGTATTGAAAACTACATTTCCAGTATCACATCATGGCTGATAACACTAGCGCATGTGTACATCAACAATCAAAGAATTTAGTGTCCTATCTGAAGCCTACTGACACTGACACTCCCGACTACACTACTAAGTGTAGTAATAATAAAATAATAAAATAATAATAATAGTAATAAAATAAATTAATATAGTTATACTCA